CCTAGCTTTAATATCTTTTAATATAGCAGTAAATATAGCTAGCACTTTACTATTATAATTAAAAGTTACTATAATTACTAGCTAGTTATAGTAGAAGTAAAGTTAAGGGTATATAGCTCTTAAAAGCTATATTAGTAAGCTATAATTTCGCTATAACCCGTAAATAGTAAATAGGATTAGTTTAGTTTCCCCTTAATATAATTACTCTTCTTATTTATGTATTATATTATTATTATTAACTTAAATAAGGCAAATAACTTTAAAATTTTTATTACCCTAATAATCTACTTTTTAGTATTAACTTTAAATTATTAGTTTTAAGTACTTAAAGTAATTACTTATAAAAGTAGCGTTAAGTTCTAGCCTATCGTTTATATAGAGGGCCTGCAAAATGTATATTATAATACAATATAATACAATACAGCATAGTAAAAAATACAAAAAATACAATACATTTAGAGGTCTGTCTTTAGTAATCATTTATATTATTTTAACTAGTAATTTATCTAGAGTCTATCCTTTAGCTTTAAGATTCTTTTAAATTCGTAAAGATACTATAAAGAAGATTAACATGTTACATTTTATAAAGCTAATATCTAATAATTTAAAATGCTTTATTTTACTACGTATAATCTTTCATAAACCTAATATACGAGCTATAAGCTTAATTAAAGTTTTCCATTTATTATAGTTAATTAAATCCACTAAATTCTTAATATTTACTATAATAGTATTATCTAATAAAGAGAAAGCTAATATTCTATTAAAGTTTACTTATATAAAGCATAGAATCTTCTAAAACCACCTATAAGCTTATAGGTTATTTTAAATAGATTTAAAAGTCTTTAAATTTTACTCTAATATACTTATTTATAGTAAAATTTAATGTGCGTTAAGATATTATACGATATTTAATTATTATTATTTTAATTATCACTTAAATTACTAGTATTAATAAATAGCTATTATTTAATTATATAGTTTATAATGTTATTAAATGTTATATAAGGGCCTTTAAGTATTATATATTTAGCTAATTATTTAAAACCTAGCTTTAATATCTTTTAATATAGCGGTAAGTGTAGCTAGCACTTTACTATTATAATTAAAAGTTACTGTAATTACCGGTCGGTTATAGTAAAAGTAAAGTTAAGGGTATACGGCTCTTAAAGGCTATATTAATAAGCTATAATTTTACTATAATCTATAAATAGTATTAGTTTAATTTCCCCTTAATATAATTACTCTTCTTATTTATATATTATATTATTATTATTAACTTAAATAAAGTAAATAACTTTAAAATTTTTATTACCCTAATAATCTACTTTTTAGTATTAACTTTAAATTATTAGTTTTAAGTACTTAAAGTAATTACTTATAAAAGTAGCGTTAAGTTCTAGCCTATCGTTTACTATTATTACTATTATTACTATTATTATTATAACCATTTTAGCCTTAATAGCCGCCTTAATTACTATTCTAGCCTTAATTGCTATTTTAGCTATTACCTTAAAGCATAAAGGCAGTCTTTATAGTGTTTTAATTACTATTAGCTATATAGTTTAATATCTTAAGCATTTCTTTAAGAGTTAAATCTCCTTTAATAATACTAATTTTCCATAAAGCGTATAGTTATATTCTTATATATGCAAGCCATAATAAACGGTCTACGACCTTAGTCGTTACTTATAACACTTGAATTAATAGAAGATAAAGATAAAAAGAGTTAGTAAAAGGTTTATAATAATACTTTAAGAGTGAGAGAGCTTATAACCTATAAAGAGAGGTAAGGCTAATAAAATAGCAATTACATTAAACTATCTTAGCTAAACTAATAATAAGGCTAATAAGCCGGGAATGTGCGATGCTGTGGGCATCGCGCGAGGCTGAACCCTCATCACGTGACCACCCTCAACAGACAGAGCCTCACTACTGGTACGATGAGATTAGGCCGAAGCTTGCCGATAACCAGCCTTGTGGCACAAAAGAGCTTCAATGCTCGTCCGCCGTGAAGAACTTGCATCCATTTTCAAACGGCGAGTCATTTACATGGCATGCATCGGATGGTTGCGAATGCAGCACGTTGTCCCATGCTACCTGTCCTACATGTTTGTTGGCAACGAGTGAAGCGAGCCACTTGATTGGCATTCGTTATTAGCAGGTGCGGGGTATCCCGAAACTAATACGGAGTACTCCGTAAGCGCCATGCTAACGCACCTACCTACCTACCCGTTGACAACTAAGTGGGCCGGCCACTTATAGGTAGGTAGGTATATTTGCATGTGAGCTTTCTTATTGGGTGACGGGTCTCATCTTGGTTCGACACAACAAAGGCACCTGCGCACATTCAAACGGATATGTCTAATTGAGGTTGTAAGTTACTATTTATCTGTCACAATCTGACTGGCTATTGACGCTTTGAAATGCTTTCTCCACAAGACAATCAACAACGTAGGAGCTCGCTCGTGCCTCGCGTTATTCCTTAGATTAGACAGGGCAATCACCAGCCAACAGCTTGGGAAACGTCAATGAGCCTTCGCATTTTTCTCCTAATAACACTTTCCTGCACATCACGATTCTGCGTATACTGCTAGACTATAACCTCATGGCTGGGTTTACTGATACTCTTCGAGGGGATGGTTTGGTTAGGGCTCAGAGAGCTCTAGCAACATTGGAGGGAGACCCGCTGCGACTCGATCGCGAGAGAGGGCGGTTTAGCCATTCTCCACCACCATATACATCATATCCGTCGACCCCCAATGATCTGAGTGAGGAGCAGCGACGACGCCGCTGTCGTACGCGCTCCGAGACCCCAAGTGCTCCCAGTGAGGAGCAACGACTCCGCCAGGAGCGGCGAGCCCAGCTATGGGAAGAGCGCGAGGCCTCCCAACCATACGAACAATTCAGCCACCAGGTCAACGAATTGGAGAAGCGCATCTTCGACGCAGATGTGAATGGAACGCACCGTGTACCCGTTGGGTCCGACCCGCGGACAATAGCGCGTGAAACCGTCAAGAAGCTCTGGGTCGAGCAAGGCATATGGAATAACAACTGGAACCAGTTCGCTGATGGGCGGTGGAAGCACGAAGAACCGCTCCAGCATGGGTCGGAATCAGAGACGGACTCAGGAGCAGGACCCTCGCCTCCCCTTTTTCCCTTTCCCCCAAAGCCGCAGCCGAAACCGAGACGGCCCAAGAGCGACGACGAAAAGCGACGGATTGCAGAGCGGCGAGTCATACGTGAGCGTGAGCGTGAGGCTTCACGTCCATATCATCAGTTCGTCTATCAGATTTCCAAGGAGCGCGAAAGGATCCAACAAGAATCCGAGAATGGGGAAGACGCTAACGCTGCCGACATTAATACGAGGGCATACGAAAATGTTAAGACGACCTGGACCAGGCGAGGGATCTGGAACCGAAAATGGGGGATACTGCCTGGGATGTCGTGGAAACATGAAGAGCCTTTTGACGAGGGAGCCGTCGACGTTCCTGCTCCTGTTTCAGCGTGCCCACTTGTGAAGTGGGAATAGCGCCTCAAGCCATACCTCTCTTTGGGCCGCTTCCTGGGCCTCCTTCTCCCGTTGTATCAAGTCATGGCCAGGCGTCTGGTGCGTTGAGTTCATCTCAACAAAGACCGCCTGTAAACATTGATTCAGCCGAAATGGAGAATGGCGACGATGCAGAGCGCTCTTCCTCTACGTCGGATTCAACACCCCCAAGTTCGGCGGAACGGGTTCTTCGTCCTGCGACGGCGCAAGCATTGCCACCAAGCAGGAGAAAGAGCTCCCATGAGGATGGGCAGTCCTCAAACGCATCGCTCGGCCCAGTCCATTCATCAGGAGTTTCAAAAGTCGCTGGAAAGAGAAAGGGACCTCAACGGCGGCTAGATACCTTGCAAAAGGTCTCCTCTGAGGGCTTGCCATTGTCGTCTGGTATGGATGCCGCAGAACCGCAGCTCTCGCCTCCACCAGTCGGTGAAACTCGCCGCAAAAGCAGTCGAATACAAGCAACTGTCCCTTGCCTAGCTCAGGATCCAGCCAAGACGGCTTCTGCGATGCCCTCGAAACGTGCAGTCCAGTCCAAACCGGAGCGGAAGGTTGCCAGCAATCCAGCAGGCAGGAGCTCTGCAAAACCACAGGGAGTATCGAAGAGACAGGCTGCCAAGACTACACGGGGGAAGGCAAGGAGACAATAAACAAGTGGTTGGCTTGGGTGTTGAGAGATATATAGGGGAGGTAGCTCTGGAATCTTGCAATATTCGTCTACGTCGTGTCCCAAAGTAAACATGTATCAATCTCATGGTAAGCTTATTCATGTGACCATCAAAGATGGACGAGACTCGGGGATAGATGATATTTGGAAAGCTTCGAAACAGCTCGTACTTCTTTTTTCACCTATATCCAAATGAAACCTATTGCTTTTGCACTCTTTATTCATGTCCTATTCGGAATGGTGCTGAGAGGTTTCCCACGCTGGTAGTGTCAAGCACGACGACGAACTAATTCGAAAGCACAAAGCTCTATGCTATGAGGATGCAGTGCTCTGGATCGTTCAGGATCCTTATCAAAGGCGCGAGATGTTTTGGCCATGGAGGTGTCGACATCGCAAAGGAGCCGAATGCCCTTTCCGGTCGGGAATTCATAACCTGAACATGCCGCTGACGGGAACGAGTCGACTGTGAGGGCCTTTGAGCCGATGCCATGCTAGATGGTGCTTTGTTCACGTCTTGCTGGAGAGCGGTTTTGCAGTTTTACATGGCAAATTTGGCACCAGCCTAGCACGTCCTGTGCCCTGCCTAGGGGACATGAGCGGCGGACGGAAAATACACATACATGTTTACATACATTAAATAAATATATCCGTATATACAAACGCTCGGAATATCCGGCAAAAGATACGTGATGAAGTGAGACGTATCCCGGTCCATCGGCTTTGAGGGTGGCCTACTACTCCGTACCATTACAGAAATCTACAACGATTGTCATCAAGTCATGAGCTAAATATCCAATGGACCGAGACCCCGCTCCTTCACAGCAGCCTGTACAGCACTTTCGACCTGTTTTACAGCTTCGCGCCATGATTCCTGTCCCTTTCCCGGACTTCCGTCCTGTTCCACAAGGACATGCAGCCACTTGATGAGAATGACGACCTTTTCAAGGTCTCGCTCCTCCTTGACTACCTTTTGCAAGTACTTGCCAAATACCTCTACATCATCACTGTGTGGCCCATCATGCTGTGTCTGGGTGTGCCAGGCATCAAGCATGTCCTTGACTTCGCGTGTCGAGGTGACTCCTGAGCTGGCAAACGCTACTTTTCGCGGAGGGGCGGGAAAGATTATCTTCCTCTGACCACCGGGCAAGACACTCTCTGTATCTGGAGTAAGGTGTCTCCGCGGTGGAGCGTCGAGCCCTGATCGGAGGGCCATTCTTCGGCGGCGGTGATCAGCAACTACTTCCTTGCGCACATCCTCCGGCAGCTCGGCGAGGAACTCGGCGTCCAGCTCCTCAATTTCTTCGACGAGGGGGCTCTCAGACCCCGGCCTGAGCGTCTTGTAGTTGGTCTGAACCACCCCGGTCTGTGCATCTCGTTGACGCTGGGCCTTGCCAAATATGCTTCGGATGCCACCACGTTTGGTAGGCGTCGTTTGTTTCCTTGGCTGGACAAAATGTTGTTCTCTCCGTGGAGACTGGGGCACTGCAGGTCTTCGTCCATACGTGGCCAGGACTTCGGCTTTCATGTCATCAGGCAGAGCGTTGAAGACGTCTGCATCAATCTGTGAAGGGAGCGCCGCCTCCATAGATGCACGGCCTTCCCATCTTGGTACTGCGGGGGCAGGACTCTGTCGTGATCGTTGTCCCATTAACCTACTCCTGATGTCATTCGGCAACTCAGAAATGACGGCGGGGTCCGGGTTACTGGGGAGGATAAACTGAGTCCCGGATACATTCAACGGAGTGTTGGCTTTGGCATCTTCCTGTGCGGCCATTGACAGTGCCATAGCAGGGTGAACCTTGGGCTTGCGAGGCGTCACTGGATCATCGGCAATGGGATCCGCGTGTATGCCATGGCCAGGAGATCGCTTCGGCTTTTGCGGGCTTTCGATGTCGTCAATAGCCTCAGTTGGCGATGACTTTCTCGCAGAAGAGGGACCTACAAACGGACCAAAGCTCAGTGTCCGTTGACCAGTCTCGGTGGGACGTGCCTGTTGTGCCTTGATCGGTTCCAGTTTGGTCATTTGCACGCCCAGGCCACGCAAATCGCCAGGACTAAATTTGAACGACCTCAAGATAGAGACGGCCTCTTTACCAATGGTTTCGGAGTTGTGCGTTGCCACACCAAAGGTCGCGCTCTTGTTGAAAGTGTCACATCTGCCATGGCCCAAATGTTTGGCCGGGTCCAACGGTGCGTCCAGGCATCTTCGCATAATCTTCATGGTAAGATGCGTGCCCCTGACCTGCTCATTCACAAGACGCTTCTCCAACTCCTTGCACAAGTTGAACACAAACTCTTCTGCCTCTTGTTGGCTAATGAACCGAATTCCCCAGTTGACTTCTGCGGAGACGGACTTTCGTGGTGGCTGCTCTCCAACCTCGGTTCGGTCAATTCCGCGAGCATAGTCTGAGAGTTTTTCGCTGGTCTTTGGGCCCAGGGCACCAGCAAGACGCTCCTTTGATACGTCCCGGATGTCCTTGACAAATTTGATTCCCAGTTCCTCAAGCTTTCCGCCGATACTGTGAGAAACACCAGGTAGTTGCTCGACTGTCAATTCGCCCACGATGTCCAGGACATCTTCTGGCTTGAGCTGAAATTGCCCGGCTGGTTTGGCTCTTCGCAGCGCGACTTTGGCCTGCAAAATGTTGCCACCAATGCCAACAGAAACATCGCATCCGGTCTTAGCTTTGATGCTCTCTCTAAGCCTTGTAGCAATCTCATCTGCCTTCTCCTGTTCTCGCCAGACATTTCCTTCATCAATGCCAATGCCCTGCGAGTCCGACGTAGAGTACACAACAGCAGTGGCGTCTACCAGAGCCTCGTCGACACTGACGCTCTGCACGACTCCTCCGATAGACATGATTGAGTCATAAAACAGCCGACTAGCTTCTTCGTAGGCGGGAAAGTCGTATGGCAAAACTTTGAGATCGGGACACAACTCTGTAGCCCGTTTCATCCACATTCCATTTTTGACTCCGAATTTGCGAGCTGGGTAATTGCAGCTTGCAATTTCAGACCCTGGACCACTGCTGTGTGCCACAACGGTGGGTTTGTCGACATACTCGGGGTGTTTCTTCAGCGATACGGCACAAAAGAAGCTGTCAAAGTCAACGTGCATAATGTATCCCCGCGCGCCTGGCCTCTTTTTAAACTTCTTTTGCGTCAACCCTTTCTCGGCAGCTAGTCGCTGCATTGCTGACTTTAGGTTTGCTTTCCAGGTGGAGAGATGATGCAGTCGGCTTTCCGAGTAAAATTGCTTGAGAAACTCGGGGTTTGCTGTCGATGACTTGCGTAAACGGGGGTCTGATAACAACCAAGCATTGTGTTCCTCCGACGTCATTTCTTTGGCTGGCTCCGCATCTGGAGAGGGACTCACAGCATTGACTACTGCAGGGCGTTGTTCTGGCGGTCCCATGGCTTTATGATTCGGGGTGTCATAGCGGGTGGGTGTCACTACACCTTGGCTTTCTATGCTCCTGCTGGGGTAGGATTGGGGAGACGATATCAGAGATTGGCATCTATCGGCTGGTTTCTGTTGTTCGTTGGCAGCGAGCGGAGCCGAGGGCTTTGAGGGAGTTTGTGTCTCCTCTGCGAATTGGCTCAAGGATTGGCTGGGAATGGTTGTAGACGACTTGAACTGTGATGTGTAGAAGCTATTGTCGGTCTGTTCCTTGTATCCCCGCCTAGCGTCTGGACTGGCCTGCGTCATGCCTCGTTCATCATCAAATTTGAGGACCTTTTGTTTCGGCCCTTCGTCCAGCACACGATAATCGCCCCATGGCATCAACTTGCCAGCGGCCACCGAGTCGACGATCCATGCGGGCTTGACGATTCGGTATCGGCCAAAGTCAACGCTCTTTTTTGGAGGTAGAGTGGAAGCAATGATATGGGTAGCCATTGTCTTCGAGTCCAAGTATTGAAGGAAGCCACCGCCGTGCTCCACGATTTCGCGATGAAGGCTACATTCGAGTTAGCACAAGTTTGACCGGAAGTGACACGGGAGAGGGCGTACACGTGCAGAGGCGGCTGAGTATAGCCGGTGATATGAGCAACTATTCCCTTGAAGATCTGAGGTTTGTCAGAAGCGGCACGCAGATCGGCGTCGAGATTCTGCAGCTTGATCTTCTTGCGGCGGAAATAGTCGCCGAATCCACCAAACACGCTGCCCTCATACTCGTCGCCCTCCTCATCTTGGAACTTGTGGTCTTCTATTCTCTTGCGCACCAGAGACGAGTTCTTTTCCAATACGCCGCCCATCGTGAGTGTGGCAAAGTGTATCCGCTATGCCCGGAGGTATGGTCCAGGAAGAAGAGCGAGTCTGGAAAGTGTTGGTTCGGTCATGTTTTCGTCGCGAGTGTTGAGACAATATGCGCCATGAATTTACGCGACTGAGAGTATTGCGTGGCGCAAGGCGTTAGTCAAGGAGGGATATCCAAAAATGTTGCTTTCGAAATCGAAGAAACGGCGTAATGTTGATGGGACATGAGTGCACGATGGCAACTTGCAGGGTCGAGACCGTGCAGAGTGGAGAACTGGCACCGCGCCTCTCACACGTCATCCCGTGACTGGTTGCTGCATGTGGCTTGCTCCGTCACTTTGTAGGTACGTACTCCGTAGTACTAGACGCCATGCACCCTAACGACGGTTGACTTCCAGCCCTTCAATGACGAGGATGGAATCCCTCCCCTCTGCACATCAAACCAGCCTCCGTCACTGGCATGCTGGCTGATTGCCGGCCTGCGCCATCATGAACAATGAGCAGTTCCGCAAGCTGATGCTTGCCAATTCGAAGCAAGCATCCGGCTCGAAAAATGACCCTTCTCCTCCCGCCGCAAAATCCAGTAGTGGAGGCACAGCTCTTGGATCCCGACGAACATCCAGCATACCCATGACACCGTGAGTGCCCGTCTCGCCCAAGGTACTGTGAAGTTGTACTCTTACCAAAATACAGGCGATCTGTTGCAGGCCATCAAAGCGATTTTGCTCGACAGCTTGCCGAGCGCAACCAGTCTGAGCGGTCACAGAAAAAGGCTAGAACCTCGGCGCCCAAAGGCGTCAGGCTCGCAGAGGGCTATGTCGACCGCGCGCGAAATCGAGAGACTGCCGAAATCGATGACCGAGAAGCGAGACTGAAGGCCCTCGAAGAATCGTACAAGAAGGAAGAAATTGACGAAGAGACCTACGAGAAGCTACGATTTCAGATTGCTGGAGGCGACTTGGAGAGTACACATTTAGTCAAGGGGCTTGATTTCAAGCTTCTCGAGCGAATAAGAAAGGGAGAAGACGTATACAGCGAGAAGCCACCTGGGTCAACAAATTCAGGGGCCGAAGAAGATGATATACATGTGGACGATGCCTTTGACAAGCTCGAATCACAAGAGGTTCATGCCATTGAAAGGGAAAAGACTGACAAGAAAGGCCAGCTATCTACAGTTGCGGTGGGAAAGAAGAGGACAAGAAACCAAATCTTGGCGGATATGAAGGCGGCGAGGGCGGCGGCCAAAGCACAAGCTGAACCCAGTTTGGGTGATCGATTCCGCAAGATCGGAACGACACAGAAACTCGGCACGCGCATAGAAGTAGATAGCAAAGGTCGAGAAGTTCTCATTATCGTTGACGCCGACGGACATGAGAAGCGAAAAGTTCGGAAACTGAAGCCTGGGGAAGAAGAAAAGGAGTCAAAAGACATGTTGCCAATGCCCGACAAGAACGCAAAGCCGTTGGGCATGGAAGTTCCCGAGCAATTCAGAAAAAAGGAAGAACCAGCGGCTGAGGATGGTGGAGAAGTCAATATTTTCGATGACGTGGGAGATGACTACGATCCACTGGCCGGAATAGATGGGTCAGAGTCGGGCTCAGATTCGGATTCGGAAATGACAGAGAAGACAACAGCTGGCAATGGCGTTCCACAGGACAAGCCGGCAGCATCAGATTCAATGCCGCCACCGCCGAAACCGCAAACAGGCCCCAGAAACTACTTTCAAAATTCCAAGACACGCCTTATTTCGGAGGAAGCGGGAGAACGAGCGCCCTCCATGTCGGACCCAGCCATCATGGCGGCTATCAAGAAGGCAGCCTCACTGCGTCCAATTGAGATAGAAGACGACAACGACGAGTCTCGCCAAGATGCCGTGGCGGCTGAAGAGCGGAGAAGAAAGTTATTACAAATGTCTCAACGGGACGATGACGACCTTGACATGGGCTTTGGCACCAGCAGATACGAAGACGAAGAGGACTTTGAAGACCACAAACTCGCGTCATGGGGTGGCGATGACAATGACGGAGAAGGAGGCGGCAGCCGGAATCCACGAAGCCAGCGCAAAAGAGGTCCAAAGAAGCGCAAGGGCGATAAAAACAACGCTGCAGATTTTCTTCGGATGATGGAGTCTCGGAAGGCAGCATCATGATGATGATGATTTTTCAATCAGTGACAAAATATTAACCAATCAATATATGAATCGCCTAGCGCTTACATGTAAACCATAGTTTGCATCCCCGTGAAGGACAATGTTCTTGTGACGATGTAAAGAAGAAACGGGTAATGTGTGCAAGCCACTCCGAGGGATCCGGGATGGTTGGATCTTGACATACAAGACAAAAAGTTACGAAGGACTGTACAAACAATGAGAAGAAGAAACAAAAAGTCAGTCACGCGGGAGCCTTGACGAGCCGGTGGCACTACAAGCATTGAAGACAAGCAACCACATGACGCCTAGTGGTCCGTACAAAGGCTACAAACAGCGGCAATGGCCCCCGAAACAAGTAAGCCGCTTACCGAACCCCTGTGTTTGCCGGTTGTCAGCTTCACGAGTCAACCAGAGGGGCAATCGAGACGACGAACAACGGGGAAGCGGAAGAAGACCAGGAGAAAGCGCGTGGAAACATTGCAGGTCCCCGCATACATGCATAACACAACTACTACGGAGTACTACTGGTACCTGCTCCCTCCCCCGTCTATTGCCCACGTTTTGTGGGGAAAGCCTGACGGCCCCGTTGTTGCGTCCATGTCGGTCTGCATCGGACGGCGGCAGCCGGATGCAACGACTGCACAACAGCTTTGCTTTGCAGCATACACCCGTACATCTGATCTCAGAGTCTTAAATACCGGTCCCTAGCCCCTTCCCTCCTCCTGCCCTCTTTTACATTCTCTTTTTCCAAACGTCATTTTTGGGTCGGGCTGTTTGCTAGATTACATCCCGTTGAATGGCCGACTCTCAAGTTGACGGGGGCTTCTGTGCAATCTCACTTCACTCGCATCTAGACCAACTTGGCCAATATCTGCCGAGTACATCATGACCATCTCTTCCCAAATCCCTGTGTGGTTGGACTGTGACCCGGGCCATGACGTACGTATCCGCCGTTCCCTGGTTGGACACTTGCATTGTCTCATCTGCCAAAAGGAACACCATCAATCATCATGATTGGTCAGGCTGTGTGGTTGAGCAGAGTGCATGCTCGTCAATGGCTTGTTGAATCTTTCCACAATTGGCAATACTGACATTGGTGCTGCTCTTGCAGGACGTATTTGCCATATTGTTAGCAGCATACCACCCTCGCATCAACCTACTCGGCGTTTCTTCAGTCTTTGGAAACGCATCGTTGAGGTAAGATATCAAGCGCGTACCCCAATATCAACACTATATTTTTTTCCCCTAACATGAACAAAAATAAAAAAACAGCCATACCACCTGGAATGCTGCGTCTATCCTCACAGCCATTGGCAAAGAGAAACAAGTTCCCCTTTACCGAGGCGCCGCCAAGGCCCTAGAACGCCCTCCCGTCCATGCCCCCGAAGTCCATGGCGAATCCGGCCTCGAAGGAACCTTTCTGCTGCCCAAGCCAGAATGCGAGCCTGTCGAGAAGGATGCTGTTGAAGCCATGTTTGAGACTCTCATGGCCCAACCAAAGGAGACGGCGTGGATCGTGGCCACTGGCTCCCTCACCAACATCGGCGTCCTGTTGCGCAGGCACCCCCAGGTCACATCCCACATCAAGGGAATCAGCATCATGGGCGGCTCCTTGGGAGACGGTTTCTCAGACGCCATCCTGAGCCACGCCGATAACAAGGACCGCATCGGCAACATTGGGTTCTGGGCAGAGTTCAACATCCTCATCGACCCCGAGGCAGCCGCCGAGGTGTTCCACAACAAGGAGGTCGCCAAGAAGACGACGCTGGTGCCGCTCGATCTAACCCATCAGGTTCTGGCCACAAACCACGTGCGAAGCATGCTACTGCACGGGCCGGGCGGCAACAACGAAGGCAAGGGTAAGACGACCCTGAGAGATATGCTCGTCGAGTTATTATATTTCTTTGCGGAAACATATGCGTATGTTGTCACTGCTCCCCGAGACGCCGGCGCCCGAAAATAAAAAAAAACACACACTAATATCTCAGCAGAAACGTCTTCGGCATCGCAGAAGGTCCCCCGCTGCACGACCCCATCGCCGTCGCTGCGGTCCTCATCGGGACTTCTGACGAAATCCCCTTTTCAGAGTGGCACGAAAAGAAGAGCATACACCCCAAGCACAATGAACGCTTCGACGTGACGGTTGTCACGGAGGGGTCCTTTGAAGAAGCCAGGGCGGGCACCAAACAGACAGGGCGCACTATTGCCAAAGCCTTGCCTGCCGGAGAGGAAGGCGTCAGAATACCTAGAAGTGTCGACGTCGCCAGGTTCTGGAAGGAGATTGAAGCCTGCGTTTCGCGCGCCGACGCAGTCAACAAGAAGAATGGTAGGGCCTTTTGGACAGAGAATAGACCATGAGCTACACGAGTGATTTTGGTTTGTTTCTTTCCTTCTTTTTTTTACTTTTGTTCAGCCTGAAAAAGTATCCCGCTTGTCTATGCGGTATTTTGTTTGGGGTATATTATTAAGAGGATAATTGTCTTATGCCGTGTGCTCGCTATTCTATACAAATATCCCCCCCTGCCAGCAATGGTAGAAGAAGGGACGACTAGAACGAACAAGGAAAAAGGGGGGGTTGTTCCACTACAGGTTTCCATATACAAGTTCTTCCGTCCTAGACATTATAATTGAGCCTCTCGATTTGCATCCAGGTTCATCAACAGCTTGAGACTTCGCTCATATGTCCACACGGTGACAGCACTAGCGGGCGCAGACTTTATCAGACTGATCGGTAGGCCCTTGTACAGCCCGCGAAGTCCCTCTGTGCGTGCAATGGCGGCGATTCCTCGCAGGGCGCTCGTGTACTCGGGTATGTCGCTGTAGACGTACCGAGCCCTCGTGGGACCCTGGACTTGTATCCGCTTCCGGACGAGGTCCAAGGGAAACACGGCGGTCTTGGCCACGATACTGCCGACAACGCCTGCGGTGGCGTCTTCGCCGCCCCACGGCATGTTGAAGCCCGACAACTGGATCCGCAGTCCCTCGTACGTGACGAAGAAGATGCCCATAAAGGGCACGATCTGACCCAGCGCAGGGCAGATGCCCCGGAAGAAGCCCCGGTACCCCTCATCCCGCTTGATATCCCACACGGCGCTCCTCAGGGAGCCGTATATCCTGCGGCGGCCCTGGGCGGCAAACCTCGTCCTTAGCAAGTCGAGAGGATACGTGATCGACGTGGCGAGGGCACCCGAGGACGCACCCGCGATGAAGCTCTCGGCCGGGTCGGGTAGCCTTGTCGGCAGGGCCGTCTGAAGAAACAGCGTCGTGGTGCGATACGTGGTGAACTGGATAGCGGCGTAAAAGACGTAGAGCAGCTCCGCCGGGACATTGCCCTTCCAGAGTGCGGTGAGGCCTTCGTGCCGGAGGATGTGCCTAAGCGTAGCAACGGCGCCGTGGTACGCGGGTGCGGCGCGCAAGGGGGCGAGGGGGTCGGAGAGGGAGTATGGCTGAAGCTGGAGACGGATTTTCACAACATCCAGCGGCGCGACGATGAAGCTTTTTGGCAGAGGTTTGTTAGTGCATTTTGTGGGCAAAGGGAGACGTCTTTATTTTTTCCTTTCATACCGAGATACAAGACCAGCTATGGCGCCGGCGGACACAACTTGGAGTTTTGTTCCCTCGTCCTTGAGACGTGTGCTACGAGCAGACATGCGGCCCTCTGGAGGCGCGGCCTCGCTCTCGCATGACAAGGTTGCCAGCTTGCCTGTTGGAGCTGCGCCAACGAGCTCCCGCCCGCTCTGGCACCGAGTTCACAAGCGGCTCTTGTTCTTGGCCGTGGATGGGAAATGGGGATTTGGAGATTGGTCAAGATATCCTAATCGTGCAGGGTTGCTTGTTGGTTCGGGGGCTAGCCCTGGTCCTCCGTTGACGAGCGGGCAAGTCGCGATGGCGGAGGCGCTGTCTTCGGGAGGTTACGAGGGAAGGGCGCGGGTCGAATAATGTGGCGCTTTGAGGGACTGGAATGCTGCAATTCTGGAATGCTGGAATACGCGGGCGCAGGGCGTAGAAGTCGTCGAGGTATTGTCGTCGGACGTTGTCAGATGTCTGAGTGCAAATATTCTGGCGCAACGAAATGATATCGATAGGTGACGGAAGCATGATGCAAGTGACAAGCCTTGTCCTCGGTGCGGATGCGGTGCGGATGCTATGCCAGTGTCCCATTGGCTGCAGCGTGAAGTAGTGACGGCATGCGGCGGTTTGCGGCGGCCTGCTGGCCACAATGAACCAGCCATGACAGCGCAGGGCTTCTGTGCCTGAAGGGCCGGCCCCATTTAGATGCTCTGTAGGCATCAATGGCGTACCGCAGAATAATTACGGAGCACTTCCGTCAAGGCGTACGTATCATATCCCAGCTGTTCGCGCGACCCACTGCCGCCAACCCTGCACCCAGGGCGGGTCATAGTGAGATGCAACAAATAAATGGATGCAGTTTGCCTGGGCCGGTCTCACATGTCTGACCTTGGCTGCACAGCACACTCTGCCTTACAAACAACCAAACACAGGGGAGGGGAAGTATATAAACACAAAACACCTACAATCCTCAATGCAGTGCCGGGAGCAAGCCCCATCTCTTGATGTTACACACGCCGCAGTCGCGCCGTAGACGTCAACTGGCCGCCTGCCATCTTCAACCATCTCTTCCGAGCATTTGAGGGGCAAGCAAATGCCAATGATCCGGTTGGTCAGCTGCACCCTCGTTTCGCCTCACTTGGGCAAACATGGCAAAGCTTCCTTTGCCCCGAACAACCACACCTCTTCGCCGCAGATGCCATTGGCCGGCCTTGCCAGCCTGCGGCAACGTGCACAAAAAGCGGGGACATGGTTGAAAGGATGTTGGGTCCGGTGTCCTCGGGGCCCCATTTCCCCCGTGGTTGCAGGTTGCATGGCGCTTTTTGTCCCACGCCATGTAGTACGGGTCCCGGGACGACGCCTTGACGGGACATGGACCCGCGTCACTTGACGGAGGCTCGACAATCAACGCCGGCATCTCTCCATCTTCTTTTCTTCTTAAAGCACTTTTCTCCTCTACCCTCTCTTCTCTCCTCTTCTCTTCCCTCGTCCCTTTGTCCTCTGCTCACTCGGAATCTGAGTAAACGCTGCCGATTCGGACTTGCCCATACGCACCCTTGTCGGACAACCTGCTTGGAGGGGCAACGCCCATCTCGACTTCGTCTCAGCTTCGACGTGTGATGGAATAGAAGGACGCTTCCTCTGAGGAACTTCAAACTTTGCCGAATGCCCATGTGAGAGCTTGACTGGACATTGCCGGGTGTCAATCTCAAATACATCAACGCTGGTGCCTGAAACAATCTCCTCTCTCTTCCTCTGGATACCATCGCCACTTCCGGCCCCAGAAGCCTCACGACACACAACCATGGCCGTCGTCATCTCTCCCCCTGACCAAGCAACCCTCCTCGCCCCTCTTCTCCCAGCGCTCCCAGCTGCAGCAGCATCAACTCAGCCGGCGCTCCAACTCCTCCCTCTCCTCTCCCCCATCCTCCGCCAACGAGTCCAGCTCCTCTCCGCCTCCAGCACAGAACCATGGCTCCGCCTCCTCTGCTACGACGCCAGCAAGGCCGCCAGGCTGGCTGACATCGCCCGCGGCCCAACCCTCGAGCCGCACCCAGTATCCGGCGAAGTCGAGGTCGATTGGGGTTACGACTCGGAAACACACTACAGGAGGCTCGACGAGGAGACGCTGCAGGCCCTCGTCGCCCTGCCGGAACTAGGCCTCGCCTTCCGCCTAGTATACTGCATCAACGACAAGGAGGGCGGTGGCGACGGTTGGCGCATTGGCGAGGTCACCATTGCAGAGCAGCCTGGTCCGTTCTCGCAGTTTGGCGGCGCGTCGAGCATTGCCGAAGCAGAGAGGCAGTACAGAGACAAGGAAGCAAAGAGCAAAGACACGCTCCGGGTAAACGGCGCGGCCGCAAAGCCTACTCTGGGAGGCGATGATGACGAGGACGACGATGACTACTGGGCGCGGTACGATGCAACGCCCGCCCGAACACCAGCCAACAATCGCAGTCCCGCGCCAAACGCTGGCAGCGCAGCCCCGTCCAACCAGCAGCAATATGGTCTTCGATCAGCCGCTGAAGACGACTACTTTGCGCAGTACGACGACGTGCAGCCCGCCATGGACAACCACGACCCTGACGAGGAGACCCAGGCGGCGCAGCTGTTGGGTCCCCTGGGCTTTCAGCAGAACCCTGCGGCTGCCGAAATAAAACAGAACGGCGGCATCCAGCAGGACGTATCGAACGCCGAGATCGCCCTGCAGCATCCACGCCCCGAGTCAAGCGCCTCGTCCAATGGCTCCCATACCGTCGCCAAGCTTGAAGAGACGGCGGGCAAGCAAGAACAGAATGAATTCGGCGTGAAGCAGCACGTTTCGCGCACCATACGCAGCTTGTACATGCTCTCCAAGGCCAGCGGCATCGATAGGGAGGAGTTTGAGAGGCTGGTGAAGACGGAGCTCGATTTGCTGGGCATCATGGATGAGGGTGAATGACGTGCGTCTATTTTTTTTTTTTTGGGGGGGGGGGAGGACCATGTATTGACATGATAAGGGAGACTTTTGGATAGGTTACCTTGACTCCGGGACCCTTTGCCACTAAAATATCGCAAGTTAGATTGTGAAGAATACCGGGCAATGCCAAAAGTATAAAGCTGACTTAAATGGAACGGAACGCGAACACATGTACTATTATTACGGGTCAGCTTTAGAAGGCAGCGATGCTCTTTCCATACTATCAATTATATTTTTTTTTTTTTTGGGGGGGGGGGAGGGATTGGAAACAATGTCATAAGTTGTGTACGTTGCGGGTGGACGACTTTTCATGTCTAGTTGCTTATTCGGCCGCATTTGATGCATGGCGTTTTGTAGGTACATTTTCTGCATGGAACGGTGCATGTGGTTTTGGCGTTTTTGGAACTAGCATTCATGAGAATACATTTTGTTCGACATGAGCGAGGTTGCTACAAGTGATCCTGGACTATTATTTGCTCGACACTGTAGCTCAGTGCTGATTGGTATTAGACATACAAGATGGTAAGAGTAGAGTTGCCCCTCCCCCCAGTCCTGTCAGACACCAGTTGTGTATTTCATACATCCGTTAACTTATCATTCTAAATGTTGTTGAAAACAAAGAAAAGAACAAGAAAAGAAAAAGAGACTAACTCTAACCCAGTCCAGTCCCAGTCCCCTGCCATCATTCTTTGGGGAACCGCTCGAGACATGTCTCCTATATTCATGTACAAAGCCAGCTAAAGTTCAGCCGATAACGAGGTTATTCAGTGCTATTCTGGCCGATTCCACAAGCCTCGTGCAGTTCCTGTGCTCAGGTGGAACCGGCGCATTCCAATGAAGATAATATTTGGAATGATTCGGCATTTTGCCTGCTGCCGTGAGGTCCTCCACCATCTGGTGCCGCAGTTTCGTCGACCTATCCAGCTCGTTGATGACATCTTTCAAGCCAAGAATGGCGTGTCTACCGGGCAGTGCGTCTCCAGTCTTGCCACCCAGTCCGTAGACGTCAAGCTTAAGGATTGATTGCACCGTTTCCCGCCACACCTCCGGGTCCAGATTCCTATTGTCGATTGCTTTCAACGCCGCACACGCTCCTTGGTCATCCATGACAAGACCCCAGAGCCCCCCAAACTCCCGGAAAGAAAAGAATACCCCCTTGCCATTGGCATTTGCAGCGTCGGCGTCGCGGTCAATCATTTCCATGATTCTAGCGTACGCGTTGCAGGCCGAGGGGACTAGAGCTCCCAGGCACGTCATGTTTTGGAGCGATTGTACAGGCTGAGGCTGTAGAGGGTCTATAAAGAAGTGTTGAAAGCAGTGGGGACATCCAAGGACATCTTGAGAGATTTTGGTCGCGTTTCGAGCAACTCTCATGGCCGAGGGGACGTCGGACGGCAGCCGCGTCAACAAGTCTAAAGCCAGATACAGCGATGAGAGGCATCCGCAGGTGGAATTGGGGAGAGGCTTTGAGCTCGTGGGGGCCTGTGGTGGCTCGGGAGATTCGACGATGCTAGAAACGTCACTTGATATAGAAGGCGGTGTCTCCTGAACTCGCGGCATCTGACCTGCCACGTACTGGTGTAGGGAGTCATTGATATGCTTGGATGTGCTCCTTCTCGCCGGCTCGGGCTCGTTGAAATCGATGCCCTGAAGAATATCCAGGCCTCCGAACTCTATTTGGAAGCCATTGCTGCCCAAGGTGCCATCGCCGGGACCTGAAAGGGAAAGATACGGCTGTTGTGGAAGCGAGTACAGGTGAGCCGTGTCACTGTCGCCAGGGTTGTTTGGCAGCATGTCCAAGAAGTTGAGCGTCTCATCGTCAATCTGGGGCATAAAATCAAGGTGTGCATTGACCAAGGGCTCTTGGTGCGAGGAAGGTGCAAAAGACACCCCTCCGGGGGTAGCCGATACTGGTGGCCGTGAGGCATCGGTAGATGGGTTCTCGGGGGCGGGTTTTCCTGTTGCGCGAGGTTTTCGGGGCCGTCCCATGGGCTTCTGGGCCGAGTAAACGCATGCGATACCCTCCCTTTTACATCTCTCACACCCGCTACGATCCTTTGAACAAGCCAACTTCCGAGTGCCTGTGTTGTGTGAGCGTACAAAAGTCTCCGAAATATGTCTCCGAACGAGGGAAGCAATTCACGAGCGGCAAGGGAACTCACGGCATTCATCACAAGCACGATGCTTAGGCGTACCAGCGGCCTTGGATTCTTGAGGTAATTTCGTTGCCATGGCTATTCAAGAAAACAGGGCCAAGGTGCCTGTGTGTCTAGAGAAAAGGACGGCGGATCAAAGTACATATACTGTGGCAGGTGATATGATGATGATGATCGGGGACAATAAGCCAAACCCGCAGAGGGCCCTTGTAGTACTCGTGGCCCGTGGGGCGCGGCGATGAGACTAAATCCTGTTGTAGAGTTTGTGGAAGGAGCCACCAACGTTGCCCGACTCTGGCAGACCCCTAGTGCCAGGCTTCAGATTTGGACACCTGCGGAAGTAGATGGAAGTCGGAGCACCAAGCCTCTACTACGTTGGAAGCCAGTTGATATTGATCGATCATCTTTCACCTCCAGGATGCAAAGTAACGTGGTGCGTAACCTATACCGACGCCAAGAGTCCAAATGCTGCTGATATGCTCACCGATACAGTGATACGTCTCTGACAACCTCCGTAAGCTTCATGGACTGCGAGTGTTCGTGGAAATGCTGACAAATGCCAGATGTAACCCTTGACGTTGTTATTGTACATGCACAAGGGAACTGGTGTAAAACAACTAACACATAAAAGGACAATTCAAAAAGTGAAAAGCACCAAAGACTGGCTGGCCTCGTCTGAATGACTGAACAACTCCGCTATGGCTGCCGGTTTTCAGCCCTAGGAGAAACATGTTGGTTGCCAGCCTCAACACCACGAGACAGAACCAACACCATTTGCCACGCACAGGCTCCGCGCACAGCCAACAGAAGGGCGGCCAAGGCGAGCAAGTTTTGACTGGTCCGTAATCCATTGACGTGGATTGCAAATAAACCCCGTCCCTGGATGGTTAGTCAAGGTTGCCAGTCCTACTACGTATCCAGCTGATGTCCCCGAACCTGACGCCCTATACACGAAGTGTTGTGTCGGTCGATATTGTACAATGAGAACGGGCCAGACGCCACCAACCACCATCTGAGAATACTACATGCGAGACATGACCCTGCTCGAGATAGCAGAAGGCGCCGAGCGTTAAAGTGGGCTTGCACCATGAAACCGATTGAAATAGTTTTACCGCGAAACGTGGGAATCAGCCGTAGCCACACTGACCCTCGCGGGACGTACTCCGGACATCGCTTCCTAATAAGTGTACCTACTTAAGTAGGTAGGAAACATTGATGCCGGAGTACTAAACTACATTCAACCAGTCTCCTCATCGACAGCAACCTTAAGCCGAGTGTTGAGGCGTGACCTCTGGTGTTAATGCATGATCTCATTAGCGTGGTCACTGGTGACGCGCAATCTGCTGAGCCAGACCTCTTTGAGCTTCAGTAAGCAACATTCACCAGCACGGGACCTGCTAGCGGGAGCACAGCAACTGAGACCACGCACGGCACCGTCAGCATAAGGATCAAGATTCAACCCTCAAAGGTCTTTGTGCAACAGTGAACACTGAATTCTGAACACAGCAATGTCCACATCGCCGTCTACAGATAAGGCTTGAATCCCTGATACCCAATTAAACAGTCTGCGATATCCCGGCATAATGCCCTACTGGCCTGGACACCGCATTGTCAATTTCCAAAACCACCTACCTGCAGGCTCAAGGCCGGAAAAAAAATTATATATGCACGCGACCACATCACCTTTAAGACAGAGGAGCATCCCCCGTCGGACTCTAGGTCTTCCATAAGACCCCTATATACGATGAGCATAGCTGCACTCAAACCCTGAATCCCAACACCCTCACGACCCTTCCGATCATGGACCGCCTCGACGTTGCTGTGCGCACGGCATATCGCACTGCGTTTCTAGACGCACTGAACGATGGTCGAGCCAAGCCGCTGCTGATTCCGTTTAGTATCCTGGGGACATCTGTTATTCCTACATTGTGGCTGACCATTCCGCATACCTCGAGGCCGTGGGTGTACCAGACAAGGTGGTTGGTAATGATATTTGTCATTTGCTTCAATGTCCATGTTACGCGAACCGCCTCAAGTACTAATTTCGGCTGTGCATACGTCGTGGGGCTGATGGCGACTTGGGGGACCATAATGACCATGAATTTGCTGATTTGGAGGCGGCCGCAGTTTGACGCCGCAAGGGTCATCAAGGTTAGGCTTGGGAAGAAGGTTGTGAAAGGTGAGAATGGGAATTGGAAGACGGATGGGGAGCTTGTGGGTGAGGATGGGCTACGGCAAGGAAAGCAGAACGCGGATGCAGTCTCCCACGGTGACGCCCACGGCGACGGAGCCAATAACGAAAAGGAAGAGCATCAATATATCTGGCAGACATTTCCTGAGAAGGGCACATTCTTGGGCCGCCTAGGCTGGGCGCTGGACCTCTCATTCAGTTTCCGTGGTGCGGGTACGTATCCTTACCGAGACCTTTCTTCACATCCCATCTACTCTATATTATTGTAAAAGAAAGCAGCTAACCACCCAGGCTGGAACTACTCCATAACATCAATCCCACGGCCGCCGATCCCCCGGCCCATCCAGCACTGCTCGCCCGTCATCATCACCACTATCCCTCCAAAAACTACAAGCGGCCACGCCATCCCCCTCAGCGAAGCCCAGCTCCTAACCAGCCGCCTCGCTCGCGTCGCATCATGCTACCTCATCCTCGACCTTCTCTCTGTCCAGATGATGAAGGATCCTTACTTCATACACGGGCCGCACATGCCTCACCCCAAATCACCCCTCATCCTCCTCTACAGAGAATGCATGTCCCTTGTGGGGATATGGGCCGCCATCAACGCCTTGTTCAATCTAAACGACATGGCCCAATACTACTTCTTAAAGACATTCTTCCCTTCTCGCGCCGCCCTATGGCACTACGCATCTACGTTTGGCTCCGTGTCAGAGATATTCAACCGTGGACTGGCAGGATGGTGGGGTGCATGGTGGCATCAGACATTCAGGCTAGAATTTCTCGGTCCATCGACATATCTCCTGCAAAATGGATACATCAAACGAGGTACACAGACCGCCGATGCAGTCGGCTTATTCGCGTCCTTCTTCCAGTCGGGACTCATGCACGCGGCGGGGAGTCTTTCTTCGATTCCGGACACCAAGCCTTGGCGGTCAATGGTATTCTTCCTGCTGCAAGGTATTGGGATCGTTTTGCAGCAACGACTGGCACTCTGTTTGCGAAGGAGCATGGGTAGTTCGCCGAGAATTGTTAGACAGCTGGGCAATGTACTGTTCTGCCTCGCTTGGCTTTACATGTCTGCGCCGTTCTTCATAGATGACCTGGCGTCTACCGGGCTGTGGATGTTTGAGCCGGTTCCCATTTCACCGTTGCGATATATGGGATTTGGACATCCAGAGGATCACTGGTGGCGGTGGGATCGGGATCATTTGCCAAAATGGTATCCTGCGAAGCACTGGTGGGAAGTTGGAATTGCGTTGTAGACGAACAAGATTGCTCCTGTCGGACATCCACAGCATTGCATGAGCGGATAGCATTATTCAAAGGTAGATTGATTATACATCCTCCGTACTTTAGGCCCGGTAGATAGACTCATACTGAGAATCGTAGTTAGACACTCACCCCGTAACCCGTCACGCAGCAGATGACGTTTTATGCTGTGCCTTCAACCATGTGATGACAGGGCCGTAATTAGCCTGTTTCTTGCCCAGCACGTCTAAAAAGGCATCATACGCAGCACTGCACAGATTAGTCTCATTCACCACAACAGTGCGACGCAACAGAAAGTACCTCATAACTTGTCCCCTGTGGATACAACACGAATACTCGGGATATCGCAACTTTCTGGATTTGCTCGATATAATCGAGAATGCAACTTCAGCAACTTTCAAAATGGTGCCTATATTGTGTAAGCAGTGGAAGTACAAAAAATGAAAATACAAAAAGGACGGGAAAGGGAAGAGAAGGAAAGGGATAGAAAATTGACAAGAAGAGAATATGGGGGGTCGTCGTCAAGGAGCTACATACGAGTAATCAGGGACGTACTTGGTCGCCGTCCCTTTGGTAAACACCGTATGTACGCCCACATTTTGCGCGCCGTCTCAACAAATGCGCCACGCAAAGAATCAAGCACAGTCCGTGGAGCATTGTGCGACGTATCAAAGAACATGAGGTGCGACTGGATCTTGAATGCATCTGTTTGGACATTAGCGCTTGACAATGGCAGGGAACGGTACTCGGGGAGGGTTCCGCACTGAGAACTTTTCTCTGAAAGTTTTGCCCTGCTGAGCGTCCATAGTCGACTGTCAATGAGTTCGAGACACCTGCACGTGTTAGCTAGTTCTTTTTGGAAGCAGGCTTCTAAAATGGCTTACAGCTGGCAGCTCCCGCCTCTCCGTCCCTGGTGATGTCCAACGACCTATCGTTAATCCGTGTTCCGCAGTACGGAAATTCCGTTGTAGCAGCTTTGCAGACGGGTTTGCCATCAATCCGCATGTCGAAATTGACCAGCGTCTTTCCGGGACTAACTTCCACCCCATACTCGGGAACTCCGTGGTGCATCGTCTCGACAAACCGCACAGCCTTGTTCTTATCGAGCGTGATGAGCAAAAAGTCGTCAATGAGCCTCATCAATAAGCAATCCGGCTCCAGAAGGAACCCCAAGTGCTTTCTCTCCAGGTCTGCATAAAAGTAATTACACAGGAACGAAGATAACACCGAACCTTGCGGTATCCCCCGTTTTTGACGGTAATACTTCTTGCCAATCTTAACCAAATTTCTTTGAACATGGTCGGTCAACAGGTAAAGAAGGTATTCCGTATCATGGCTTCTTTGCGCTACGCCGTCGACAAAAACAGTATTTCTTTTCTTACTGGCTAGGCCATGCCGGAGCCGGTCCACGAACGGTTGTTTGTCCCGAGTAAGGACGGATGCATGCCATCGCCGAATTGCTTTTGTGGCAGTCTTTTCTGGTCCAATCATGGCCCGCTCGCCGGGTTGCACTTCTGCGTGTTTGGTGATGGTGTATTTTTGCTGACTTGGTATGGATTTCATGAGTTGTATGATGGCGTCTTGGGGGATGGTGTCGAAGGCGGACTGGACGTCGACCTTGGCGAAAAATAATTGGCTCGATCCGCTGGGGAGACGACGTTTAAACATCTTGAGTTTAGCGTACATGTCGCTGACGGAGAACAGCGTCGATGCTAGGCGTTGCGGGTTTGTCATCTACAGCCAGTAAGTATTGTTTTGTAGCAGTCCGGTCTGAATGACAGTCATGCATACCTTTTCAAACTTCAAAGCCGTGTAAACTGGACCAAGAATGGAGTTGATGCTGGACTTCAGAATCTTGGCCCCTGTTCTGGAGGGTTGTCTTCTGCGCAGATTCATAATTGGTCGCAGTTTATGTCCTTTGGGAAGCAGCCGTATATGACTGAATCCCAGGCGCCTGGAATCAAGAATCTCATAGGCGGTTGTGACTGTCATTTCCTCGAACATGTCCGACTTCATAAACGACAAAGTTGGTTCTGCGATACGGCGCCAAACATCGTGGTGGAAATAAAACACTTGGTAGCGGTGGGTGTTGGACTCTGTGACGTAGTAGTTTGTTTGGATGAGGGGTATCAGTAATGAATCGAATACATAATACAAAAACTCGTAGAAGAGTTCGCAACGTTTGTTCATGTCAGTCAGGCTGGCTTTTTGGGGCCCCTCACCTGGAGGTTGGAGCCATGGGATGTGAGCCGTCTAGCGCCAACAGGTTAATTCTAATCTCACCACATGCAGCATATAAGCATACCTTCATCCCTTGGTATATTTCGTGCAACGTCATGGTCTCGAATCGCCGAAGTCTAACGAAGTGGTCGACGTTGCGAAGGAACATAGCCTTGTTGTGAGAAAGGGTCTCGCCTTTGCCCCAGAAGTCGTTGGGCACGACATGTGTCAGAGCTGCTTGGCAAAATGCAGATACTTGAGAAGGTGAAGTCGCTAAGTCAACCAATGAGTTAGATTTGGGCGCAGGCATTGTCTGCTGACGGCCATTGGTCGCAACAGGGGCCGTCGGCCCTATTCTGCGTTGCCCTCTGTCAAGGTCCGTCACCTGAGATCTTTCGTCCAGCGGGAAAGAGGATTCATGAGCTCGTGGTCCCAGAATCTGAGAAGGACAGTAGTGTCTTAGAAGTTCTCCGTATGAACAGCGGCTATGGAGTATCTGAAGTCTCTGAACGAGGCGCCAGGCTTCCCCCCGTAGACGCTTGGGCAGCTTTGGTGTCCCATCCTTTGAGCAATGTTTAGGATCTTCGGTAAACTCTTTGATCTCCTTCTCCCGCAAGGTGTAGTCTTGAAACTTTTGCGCCGTCTCCAAGACGTTCACGTTGGAAGTGAAGACATTGTGTAACCCAAACTGTCTTGGAAATATATACATAGTGAGCTTGGTCGTGTTTGCGTCAATTTTCTCGGCATGGTGACTCGTCCCGTCATCTTTTCCGGCGCAACACCGATTGAGAACATCTAATTTATTAAGCGACGCTCTTCAAGAATGCCGTGAAAGAAGCCGGGGGGGGAGACATACGAATGGGCTTGAAACCATGCTGAACCCGGCCGCGCGCTGCGAGAGGTGGCTTGGAGTAGAATATGCGACTCCTCACCAGTGAGATGTCTGACAGTTTGCGAGGTTCGTTTGGACTGCTGCGGTTACCGCTAAATTCTAACTCGGAGAAGGGGATGCCTGGCCAACGTTAGGGCTGGTTCTGTGTAGGACTGCATATTTCACCGCACCGCTCCGTCCTGACTTACCGCTTATCTGGTAGTAGTTGCCAATTCCTTCGTCGATTGCGACAAAAATAGAACGTTGAATGAGAAGATCAACCATGACTCTCTGTCCCGAACGACCCAACAGTGCCAGCACCTGCGGCCAGGGCTTTCGTCTCAAGGCCGCAGCGTGATGATTCGGATAGAGGCTATAGATATCTGCGATGGAAGTGCCATGAGGATCACCCTCTTTAGTTCGTTTGCGGAATCCATCACAGAGGAGGTTTTTCGGCCATGCGCCTGGCGTCTTCTCCCTATTAAACAGGGACCATATGACAAAGTCCACAAGCTAACACACCCAATCAGCAACAGTACAACGCCAAAAATTTGGTGAGGCCCAATGATACAAACCTCTGATAGCGTGTTCTCACATTCAGGAACGTTCCCCGATATAGTTACATGCGACTCGTCTCCCTTTTGCGAAAATGACAACCACTGTGCGTAAGAGGCATTGTCGGTCTGCAAAATGGCAGTGGAGTCGCAGATAATTGTCGAATCCAGAAATTTGGAAACGGCTGCTTCAAGCTCACTGACGGAATCACCCTTGCCGAGGCAACTGATCTTTTTTCGACGCAGTCTGGAACTGTTCGGAAGTTTGAGCAAGGCATACTCCCGCAGAGTTAATACGGTAGCATAAGTGTGTCGTAGGAGATCCCTCCTGACGGGCCCGTCGCAAGCCGCGACGCCGTTGTCCGAATTTGACGCGTCTCGCTCATGACGCTTTCGCTTCCGGCCACAAGTCATGACCTTGTAAGCCCGGCATGTGGGCGGCGTCACAAGGTGGTGAACTGGCCGACAGTGCCAACTTACACGCGTTTGTTTCGAATGGTGTTTGGCTAAAAAAGTGAAGCCACAGGTAGATTGGCAGCTAGCTAGCTGGCTGGCTGGTGGTCAGCAGTGGGTGTGGCTGGTACTAGTATTGTCTGTGCGGCGGGTGTGGCTTCGCGGTGACTACTCCGTACCAGTTCTGGAGAAAAAGTTTGGTTCAATTGACTTTGACGCATAAAGTGGGAGACGGAGCAGCTGTCAAAAGGTCAAAGCACTCGAGGCTCTCAGATGGGTCGACAAGTCTCAACCAGGCCTATGAGGACTCTGGTGACAATCTGAATCACCGTTTCTACCCAGTACTTGTACAGTGTTCCAGACGGAATTATTGTCCAATCTGTCACTCGAGAAAGCTTTATTAACTGGGCGGGCTTGCGGAGATATCGAGCACCCGTTTGCGGAATGGCAACTACGGGTTACCTAGGTAGGTTAAGGTCAGAACACAATGAATAAGCTGTGGTGCCACAATGTTGCCATGCACTTTGTGTAACAGCACCATGGCAGCTCTTGGATAAGCTTCCGTGGAGCTGCGTCCAACACGCGTCTGCGTCTAGTCGACTGTAGGATATGCAGAGTCAAGTAAGAGCCATCCGTAGTACGGAGTTCTCACAACAAAGTATTGCCATGTGACACAATGCCTCAGTTGGTTGCGGGTTTATTGTCAGTGTTGACTAGAATCGTTTTATGAAACGTCGTGCAAACACAGCATCAAAGCCATTGCCCGGCTGGCCAGGGCGTTCTCAACCTTCTGATTGGCGAGATTGATCAATAATTGCGTCCTCGCCTTTGTCCCGAAGCGGCCTACTCAACCAAGGCGGCCATTGACGATATTACGATAGTATCATGACGATGGGCGTGTTGTTTTTGTTCGGCGGCTTCCTCCATGAGCAAAAACATAAGTGGGGGAAGAGTCCTCCCTTGTCACACATTTGAGTCCTTGGTGTAACATCAACGACCGCTCTACGGAGTACCGTTGCAGTAAAACCAGCTGCTTCCAACCGCGAGCGGTACCTAGGCTGGCGCGGGTTTCATCAACAACATGCATTGTACCTGCGTCGAAAGGTATTCGTAGCTCGGCACAACATTTTGCCTAGGTAAATGTCCCCTGTACTTCTTAATAGCGACCCAAATACCGTCACGATTGTATATACACTTTGCCGTAGTAGCAAGACGTCGTCGATAGCTCATGAGATGGAACAGAAATGTCTCCCGCGAGGAAAGGACAAACGACGCCACGGACCTGGGACCATGGGTTTAAAAATAAGTAAGCGGCTATGGGGGGAATCGCAGGGGGGGTCATCATCGGGTTCGGTTGCCGAGAGCGATGATCATTCGATCTCCCAGTCTACCGTCGCTTGATTGCATCACGGCAATGACTAGTCGTTTTCATGTTTGGCCTTTTAATCAAAGCGCCAAAACGTGGCCCACGAACGGGTCGATGCACGTTGTTGTGGCATCGTGGTGTCACGGCATAGGAACAAACGTGGGCAGAAGCCAGGAGAGCAAAACAATGGGTTAAACGTGCTAGTCGAGGGGGGTACCCCGGCTTTGGTGAAATGTCGATTATGCGTGTGAGACCAAGGCGACGGGCGGGAGGGAGACTATTATTTAGTAAGTTAGTATCTGATGGGTTCAATGTTGACCCCAGCTGCTCACAATTTATTTTTCTGTGTACGCATCTGTCAATTTAGACGTGTCGACCAACACGGGCAGGAGCGACTGGCAATGCAACCTTGGAATGCAGTGCCAGCGCCCTAATTTCTTCTGATCTGGCGAATCTTCGTATTTATCAGCCCTTTCTTCCTCAACTTGCATTGCACGGGGGCGTTGGGCGCTGGGCAGCAATGCGAAGCCAACGGATGTGCGCCACGGTCAGGGCTCGCCGCAGCCTGTAGGGAGCATTTGCATATACAAACTTGTTCATCATGATCACATCTTCAGGTTAGTTAGGTTGTCAAGGACCGTTGATGATTTGGCACTGGCTTGACACACCGACACTGACAGAAATACGAGGATTATGAGACGCAAGACATGTTCAAGCCTCGCTCACACACAAGGGTCCGTGTTCGTTGAAGCTATTAAATATTATGGATGCGACGTGGTACGGAGTACTTCGCCCTTCCTGCTCTTGGCTTCAGGAGAATGTTCGGATCTTTTTGTTTAACAAGATAGTTGCAGCCATAACTTGTTCAGGTGAGCCGCAGCCTCGGCCTAGGTCTGTTTAGGGCCGGGTTAAGGGATTGCCTGTGTGATGCTCGTGTCATTCGTTGGAACCCATGTTATATACTCCGTACATAATACATAACTGGCTGGCTCTGTGCCCCCGGCGTGCTGCCTCTGACATTCGTGTCCTTCAATCCTGCTGTGGCTTGTGATGGTGCTGTCATGAATAAACATTTGGGATTCCTGCCCCCCCACGCGGGTTGCAAAAAAGGCCGCACACCCCGCACCCACAACCACACACACAGGTGTGCGGCCTTTTTTGCAACCCGCGTGCCCCCCCAAACTCCAAAGATGGCGGCACGGCTCATCGCTCATCGTGGGCCTGGTGGTCATGTCAAGTGCTCAAATGGCCTGCCCTGCTTATGTATGAGTCTTTCCTTGTGCCACCACCCAAACACAATTGATCCTGGGAATTGGGCGTATGCACCAGGACCGTTTGGTGCGGTTCATCCCTTCACCTTCAGATGCCGTGCGTCAAGGAGGGTGGGAAGAAGAGCTTGTCTTGTCTTGCGTGTGCCCGCCCTCTAGGGCCCTCCAGGGCCGGTAGCATATTATGCGGCATACCAGACCCGACACGGACTCCGTACGTAAACTCTTTCATTCTGTGTATACCAGACTCTTGGGGGACATGATTTTCGTGATCTAATCAGTGTCTGCATGTGGGCGCGTGCCTGGCTAACCCGCACGCGCTCTCTGGCTGGCTGGTCCGTGGCTGCGACCGCCACCAGTTGAAGGGGCCCCCTCCCATCCTCCCCACGTCGTCCCTGTCGTTCCTGTTCGTCTCCCGTTTGTTCGCAAATATTGGAGCCACCCATCTCATCTCCAATCAACCAGCCTCGCTCCGTACGCCTCGAGTTACAAGGTCGTGTCTCCTAGAGTCCACCAGTGCCTGTCACCTGGTGCTTCCCTTTCCGTCGGCTCGTGTCCCGACCAGTCACGAAGCCTGACCAGCCTGACCGGATGCACAGGTCCTGGCCACTTGCTTGGCCATCATGGACCCGGCCCCGGATGCTGGCCAGCTTCGAGACGATGCTGTCGAAACCCGCCATCCCGCCTTGGGCCACCAAAATCTAGAGCACGACCTCAACCACCGTCACCAGCACCACCACACCGGCCCTGTTTCCCTCCCAATTCAATCGCAAACCGACTCCCGACCCGAGTCTCTCCCCTACACTGACAGTGACCTAACAAGCGACAATCAGGACGACGGCCTTTCGTACCACCAGGTGGACATCCCTGATTCATATTCCACGACGACCTATCACGACCCTCTGGTCTCGACTGAGAACAACCACCATGTCCCTTCGCCTTCCATAGACCCCGACGATTTTTTTAAAAAAACTGTCGTGGCCTAGACAGTAGTACAGGTTCAGACCTTCTACCCATGGCAACCACCTCGTCTTCTCGCGCGTCCCTACAATCCAACGGAGATGGAACTTCTAGTCTCAAACACTCGGCGGTTCCTCCCGCTACACGCAGTCTGCCACGGGCAACCCTTCGCTCCGTTTCTAGTCCTTTAGACACGACAGTATCTGCAAAGAGGACACTCACCAAAACGATGCCAGCTGGCAAACCGAGCGTGAAGGACTTGAAGAAACGATTTGACCAGAATGCTATGGCCGCTGGCCCTGCCATCCCACATGCTCCTAACAGAATAGCTCCTGTTTCAAAATCCCCCAGGTCCAGGAGCAGTGCAGCGGAGCGTCGCATCCCTCACTCAGCCACCAATCCAGAGACGCGACAGTCGCCTGCCTGTGGCAGAAGCATTGGTGGTGTTGCTGGGTCGTCGTCGTTGCCGCTGCGACACTCCAAGTTTGTGGTTGACGATCATGCTTCCACGAGCTCGCAGTCATTCGCTAGTCGCATCGGAAAACCGCGGAATTATACAGGTGGGGAGAAACCATCACCGCCAACACGATTCAATCATCGCCAGATGCCTTCTACCTCCTCTGACGGCGGTCAGCCGACCGGTTTGTTATTTGGCGAGGTTCGGCGCGACCATGACGAGGCGTCCGCCTTGGGTTTTGGCATTGATGGAATCCGCCCACGGAGAACCTCGGAGTCAAGCATCCTCCAGCATCACAGCACACACCATCGCACCTTTTCTGGGCCAAGTAACGAGGCAGGCTCGCCCACTGCTTGGTATCGCGACCCTGCATCCCAGAGAAAAGGAACCCCTCGCTCTTCTGTTTCGCGCTCTCGGCCACGACCTCACTCCCGCGCTCATAGTGACGATGGTTCGTCGTCACCTTCGTCGCGGGCCGCTCGAAATGCAAGACATGCACCCTCGTCGCACTCATCCAAACTGCCCGTCTCCGTCCGAAAGCTCAACGCGCCAAGTAACTCCACGAGTCCGTCCTCCACTCGCTCAAGTTCCCCGTCCACCCTAAAGAGGTATCAAACAAACGGAAGGCCGACTGCGAGTACAAGCCCTGGCGCTAGCCGGGTCAAGACGCCAACACCAAGCCGAAAGCCTCCTCCCCAAGGGCTCGTCACGCCAAACAGTGGCAGCAGCAGCAGCAGCAGCAGCAACAATCCAAGGCTGCAGGCATACATTTCTTCACCTGTCCCAAAACTCTCGCCAACCCTGCGCAGCTCTCGGCCCCGACAGCCAGTTTCCATCGCCAGTACAGCCAGTTCTAGGATGAAGGAATCTGAAAGAGCACGGATAGGCAAGCGGGGAGAACCATCCTCCA